TTTTTTTTTTTTTTGCTAATGACTTTGACGTGAAATGATGCATATAACTTTAGCTGAATATATTAGCTTACTAGAAACCACTACCCAAGTTTCAAATGTTTCTGAATCCTCTGAGAATAAAGCCCTAAGTAGCCAGAATTACTTAGTAACTTCTGAAGGCACTTCTGAAGAATCATTTGTTGTAAGTTCAGTCTCTCCTTCCTTTAATGCCATTTATGTTAGCTACTTTTCTAATGCTGTTTCATATCTGTGACTATGTCTCACATGGTGGTTCAATAATCATACATTAAATCATAACTTGAATCTGAATATGTTCATTTACTTTCCTCTTCCTTCCTCTTTCTTTCTTTTGTTTTCCTGTTCATGGTTCATTACCAAGTTACTATATATCACTAAGGTGAACTATGCAGCCCTGACTCTTTTCAAGATACAAGCATTTTTCCTCATTTGTCAAACAGCTCCTCACATAATTCATTTCTTTCTCTCTCCCCATCCACCTCCCAGGTCTAAAACTGTCCTTCTATGATCATTTGCACAGTTAGAATATGAATGGGTGAACAGGATGAACATCTGGAATGTGAATGGTGGAACAGGGTAAGGTGGGAAGAGGGAGGTGGGAAGGTTGGGCTGGGAGGTGGGAAAAACCATTCCCCTCATTCTTTTCACAAGCTGTCTTTCTGCAGGGCTATTGCTGGACTCAGCACTGTCCTAAAGAGGAGAACTACAGCACCCAAAAGGCACCAGTTTTATTCTACCCCTCAGCCCAAATGCTCAGGCATGTTCTTAATGGGTCATTTACACTAGATTAGTGGACATGAGAAAAGGACTTGATGTGGAAGGGATGTCAAGGGACTGGGAAAAGGGTTTGAAGGATGAGTTAATGGACCCCATAGGATGCTCCATGAAGGAATGGTCTCCATCGAAGTAACTCTTTCTCTTTGACTTGTATCTGGAGATTCAAAATGCACCTGTTTTCAAAGTCTTTTTAATACATATTTTCAGTTGAATATTGTCTGATTCTGTAAGGTAGATAAGACAAATCGACTGTATTTTATAGAAGAGAAAATTGAATAAAATTTAGTGACTTACCCCAAAACAGAGAACTATGGAAGGTCAGGCTCTGAACTAAAAGTGAAGGCACCCTCTCTAGATCATTACTTGTAGGCAAACATGCATGCTGCACCAGCCTGCTTCCCTCCCTTGGAGAGTCATGTGAGCCAAGTGATGCACTTGATGGAATATTTCAATCATCCAAATATATGTGTTTGACCTTGTTGCTGAGGGACTATCAAAAGGATTCTTTATGAAAGCTGCTCAGTTGGTTTTAGTTCAGATTTAGTTTTAACCTTTTGCCTTCATGCTAATCTCTGGGTTTGGAGATGTGAATGATATTTATTTTCCTTTCCCTTTGCAAACCTCCTGGGGCATTGTGGGCAAGGGGTGAGCAGAGAAAAGAGAATTGTCATTGGATTTTCACCAGATCCCAATAACTTCCTTAAAGAGCCTTCCACCACCATCTTCTAAACAATTTTACTGAAAGGAGTGTCAGGTAATGCACAACAGGGGAAAGGGAGAGGAGTGGGGGCTCTGGGATTGAAGGGAGGGGAGAGAAAACATAAAGCAAGGGGGATACTGACCTTGCAACAAAGTTGAGCTTGTAGGCTCATTTAGTTCTAAATCGGGTGAGGGACAACAAGAGAGAAAAATGAAAACAAACACATATATTATATACAGTAGCTATATATTTGTCATATATAGTTTGTATACTGTCTTTTTACAAGCATTTTTGGAGAAATGGATAAATAAAGGAAGACACAAAAACCAAAGGTTGTAGGACAAGGTGCAGCAAGAAAAACACTGAGATGCTTTATGTTTTGTATTGGATGGGATGGTTGGGAAGAACAGGACCTGGCCACTATATATATTTTCCAGTACAAATGAATTCACTTGGCACTTGTGCTGAGCTGACGTACTGATTTGAAACAAATGACTGAAGCCTCTTTCTAGAGAGATTTCTCTCCCATATCCTCACCCCTGGTGTTTCAAAGAAGTTCAACTTCAAGAACTTCTGATCTCATGGCAATATGATTGGAATATGATCTCCCAGGAATCACTGATTTAGGAATGTGGCAGCAGAACTCTCCTGTTTACTGCCAGTTCTGAAATCCCAGAGATGAGATGCTTGGAGCCCACTTAGTTTGAGATAGGAATGAGCATGCTGCTTCTTTTCTTAAGTCTCCCCAAGATCCTGATCATAATGGAAATATCTTGCATCAGAATTACTCACTTTTCAATGTCTAGGACACATGGAAAGAGCATGCAATTTGTGTACAAGGTGGTGGCAAAATTATGATAATTTAGCTGGCTTTCTGGTAAAGCAACTGGAGAATGAACTTCATCATGAATTCATATACTCATGTGAAGTAAATGCTGCTGCTTTTCCATCTGCCCAATCTGCTTGATAGAACTTAAAGGAAAATGACATGGAAAATCTCTTAATAAATTTATATTTGTCAAAAGACTTCATTGATAGGAACCTCAATGATAATAATGATGGGCAACTTGATAAAAAAAAATAAACTCAATAATGAACTTAGAAGCCATGATAATATCTGCACTAGACTTGGCTTGAATTAAAGGGTTGAAAATGCTCATCTTCAACATTAATGGGGTTAATCTTTGAGAATTCCTGCATTAAAGAGGACCCCACATGTACCCATTCATCTTTGAACCAGTCTTTCTAATCTTATTCACATAGTATAATGTTGTATAATGTTGGTTTTAGAGAACCCTGGACTCTAGAAAGCTGACAATGGCCGAAGTACTCCCAAAAGTTAGCACAGGTTGAATGCTTTTAAAGCAATGGGGGGAGGGCAGGGAGAAGAAGGAGTTGTAATGGTCACAAATGGGCCTGCTGAAACGAGCGTGTTTATGACACATGGTTCACTGCTTGTCTTGTCATAAACTCCAGTTATTTCACTCCTTTTTTTTTCTTTTAAGTTTGCTGCTTCTCCCTATTCTTATCTTGAGAAGGGTTAAGGGGAGGAGGCTAGGGAATTAGACAGTAGTGATAAAGTCAATGGCAAAGCCATTTTCTGCATCCAAATCAGAAGAAAGAAAAGGTCAGAGGAGGAGGAAGACTATTTATAGGAATCAGGATTCCTGTGGCTGCAGAGTAGGACTTGGGAAGCTGGAGAAGGGAAAGTGTGGAAGAGCTTAGATTTGCAAGACAGAGGAAGGAGTGGCCTGTTCTTTTCTAATTCTGGCCCTCTTGCCTGCAGACAGACATCTGTCAAAAAAAAAAAAAAAAGGCGTGACAAATGTGAGGAGCACTCATGACTCTCCCTGTGTGAGAGATGCCAGGCAGATCAATCACTCTAATCATAGCTCTGTCCATTCTGTGCTAGAGGCTCTGGGATCAAGGGCAGCCTTCCTTTTCCCAGTCCTCTCAGATAAAGCTGGGCTTTATTTTATGTGCAGAATAAGAGGCTGGGAGAATGTGATTTGGAAGCAAAGATGTCACAATGGAACATACACTTCTACTGAGGTCATATGGCAGGGTTAGGGCAGGGGTGTGGCCCTTGAGGGCATGGATTATCCAGGACTTCTGGGAATAACCACAATTTATGTCTTTGCCAATTATCTGTCAAAGTCTCCCTTTTTTCCCCTTTTATGTTACATTTAAGAGTACTTTTCAACATGGGGTTTTTGGAGAATGGATTTGAAAAGTCCCAGAACCACTAAGTGTGGTAAGGGTGTGGAGGGATTTGCACAAAAGGCAACCAGAAATTAACCATGTGTTGTGCAGGGAATATTTGCATCCATCAAGGTGCCAAGCCATTGCCAGGCACCTGCAGTTTCTGCCTGTTGACAGAGAGGGACATAAGCTCACCTCTGCATAGATAGTCTCTGGGCAGAGAGGTGGGGCATCCGGGGTCTACCAGAGAGCTGGTTCACTTGCTTCTGGCAATAAGATAGTTGCCAAATGCATAATGAAATTAGAGAAATTTGCCTTATATACATTAATCCTTTAATAAAGAGTTGTTTAGGAAATGAATGCATGAATGACTATGCAACATATTTCAAGATGATGGTTTGGATGGATGAATGTTTTAATCCAGCCAGACAATATCCAATGGTACAAATGGGGAACTTGGAAAATCCTCATTTTCTACATTATTTCTCCCTCTGAAATTAATATTATTAAGGATCCCAAGACCTGTGGTTCTATTTTGATGAATACAATTTGATTTATCTTATTTTCCAAAAGATGGAAAAACATTTTAGAAAAGGGAACATGTTATATTAACCCAGTGAGCAAAATATTGAAATAGTAAATACTCTTCTCTGGGCTCTTTACTATTTTACTCAATTATAGTCTCCATGTCAGTTTAGGAGACACCACTGAGGAAACAAGAACAAAAACATAAATGTCATTTTTAGCATCTCAAAGCCTTTTCCTCCTGATTTAGAATTTTTCTCATTATAGAATGAAATGAAAATTCATTTTCATTTCTATTTTCCCATTCCCAATATCTACTTTCATACCTGCATTCTCTCTTTCTCCTCTCTTCTTTCTCATCTTTCTTTCCCTCTTGCCTGCCCAACTCACTTCTGATACCCGTCCTTCTAGAGCCTCCTCCCCAGCTTCTTCTCCACAGGGACTCTCCCCACTTCACACTCTCTCAGTGCCCAGCTCAGGGCACATTCTCACCAAATAATGTGATGCTGGCATTGGTGTGGCCCAACTTGTTTGAGGCCACACAAGTGTAGTTCCCGTAGTCATGTTCAGAGACATTGAAAAAGATGAGTTTTGACAGGAAAGGTCTGTTTTCCACTTTGACTCCTTTCTTTCCTTCAATCAGTCTAAAACAAATAAGAGACATAAAGAGAAGAATAAAAAGACATGGTCAGTTTCTCTCATAGGATGGAAATAGACTCTAGAATTAATGAACTTCTCATTGTTTCCCCATCACACATTATAATAACCCCACTATTTCCTCCTCTCAATGATACCCTATGTTCATTCACAATGCACAGGTGATCCATGCCCATGGAGATACTCTAGGCAGGATGGCTTATTTCAGTCTTCTGAAAAGAAATACATCATTTTATTCTTGCTATCCCTTAGTTATGCCACAACAATATACACAATCATCTCTCTGGCCTTTAGGAGACTATCATTTATGCCATGGATAAGGGAAAGTGCGTATTTCTCCGGAACTGTTAATGATGTTAATGAAAGTGATGATGATGATGATATCAATGATGATGTTGGTAATGACAATGAAAAACTAAAGCTTCAAAGAGATGCATGACCTGAAAGGTTTGAAAAATACTATTTTTTCAAGCACTTGGGCAATACAAATTTTCCATAAGTACTTGAGACATTCTACAGATAAGACTTTTTTGTGGGGTATCTGGGAAAAGAAGAAAATAATCAAGGATTATTTTCATATCAGGGAACTCTGAAGGACTTAGGAAGAGTGAGTGCCCCAGTGTATCATAGGGGATCAATCTGGGAAGGATTAGAAATTACTAAGAATATGACTTTGTAGAATCAAGACTGTCTCTGTGAACAATCAATGTGGCAGGCCAATATGCCAAGGAAAGTTCTCTACATCAACTTTTTACTTTCCCTGAAAATTTGTATTCCTTGCCCAGAAGCTCATTCTGTACTATAGGAAAGAGAAAAAAATATTGGAGAGAAAACATTCTTCATAAAAGATCACGGAAAACATGAACAAATGCCTAAGTTGACTGTTTAGGGCCTGGGTGGAGCAAAACTTGCAGTGAGAAAATGATGTCAAGTGGGGATGTGCACTGAATCAGGCCCAGGGGACATGCACTGAGGCAAATGGCTGGTATTGAAATCACCAAACCAAGAAGGACGATATTCATGGCAGAAAGGGAAAGTGAAGCTCAGCAAGACAATGATGAAGAGATGCTTTGTCAAATATAAAATGTTTTTCAGTGTAATGTGTTTTTCTGGTGTTAGACAAGAGGATCCCTGTCTGTCCCTGGGTTATGGTGTTTTTTAGCATAGAGTGTAGCTGGTTTGTATTATCAGAAACCTCATCTCTGTGAGATTACAGAATGATCCTCTCCAGCACCAAAACTTATGATGGTAATTTTATCAGAAAAGAGAAGCAGGTTCTAGTTTGTGTTCTCATCCATCTGCCAAGAAAGTTGGTTGAGGGTTTTGCATTGCTTTTCATTATGAAGATGTTTCCTCTGGGAGACTTCCTGCCTAAAAATCAAGGTACAGTGAACTGGCCTGAGTCCACAGACTTCATTAAAATGCTTGCACTGTGCAAATGGAATCCTGCTGTGGTCAGAAACCACTTTTATATTTCCAGCTTATTATGTCTCCATTGATTCTCTAGGGGGTACTGTCCCAGAAAGCCTCCTAACGCCACCACCAGAAGGCTTCCATGAGCCAGTCAAAGTATTGATCCCTTTCTCGGTTTTGATGGTGTTCCTCAGAGAAAGAAGAATCCTTCACATCAGAACTAAGCTGTGAATTAGATTTTGGCTCCATAGTGGGAAGCAACTCACCGGAAGCAGGTTCCTGCTTGACAGCTCTCAACTGTCTTTAGCTAAAAACAGTGTAGGGTGGCCAGTATCACTTTGCAGCACTTCACAGCTCCTGGGATGACAGCTTTCCCCTTCTCCATGTGTTCACACTCTGCCCACCCCCATCCAGTACTGCTACGAGGCTTCAGTTTCTTAATGAAATTGTAGATTTTCATTTGCTAATGCTTCTGTAGTTGGGTGGCCCTTATTAAGTGCAGAATTCCAATTCCTCTGCTTCAGATTGATAACACACACAAAGTAGTAGGTGGTGGTGTGGCACTAGTACGATGCCCAAAATATTTCTACCATAAACTTTAAGAACACTGCCTGTACCCACCACAGATTCTTTTCATTTTCCCTCAGAAATCAGCTCATCTCCCTGATAATGGGAGATGGGTTAAGAACTATTCTCCCCCAGTGTTGAATGTGATATTCTTTCTGAGAGTTGCCTGATGGAGATTGCCTGGTAGCTCTGGTGGCACAGACATAGCTGATTGTGACAAGGACCACAAGGCAGGGATACACTTGTTCAGCCAGGTGCCAGGAGAAAAGGCAACTCCATTCCATGAGAGGACACTGGAAAGGAATAAATGAATGAGTGGCAAATAGAGAAAAATCAATGGAGATAGGAGCAAAGGAGAATACATAAGAAGAACTAAAATAAAAAAGGAAGCAAAGCTGCCTCAGCAAGGACCTCTGAGAAGCATCATTAATGAACATCACAGTCTCCTTTCTCCTCCCTGGTAAATGTTGGGGCAGACCGTGGCTCCCTCTGCGGTTGCTGTGAAAAGAAGAAACCTCTCCATTTATCTCAACATTGGCCATTTGTGCTGTATTTTCCTCAGCATATTTTGAGAGCTTGCTTTCCCCCTATATTTTGTTTCTATTTTTCTCTTATAAAGAATTAGAATAATGGGATGCAGCTGATTAATTTTCACTAAGACCTAGATAATTCAAAATTCAAGAACTGACCCTGCAGCTTAATAGTGTTTTGTTTTGTGTTGTTCTTTTGTTGTTTTGTATTTTTTTTCATCATAGATCTTTGTGCCTCAGCTTCTTCCTAGTACATAAGAAGGGTGGTGAAGAATGATGGGGGTTGGTGAATTCTTGAAAGAAAGACAAAAGCCAATTTTATTTCTTTGTAAGTTTATTTCCCCTTTTCCTATGTCAGTTCTTTCATTCATGAAATGGGCGGAATGAATATAGCACTCTTTACCAGAGGCTTTCAGATATGTCTTTAAAATGTAAAAAGGATTGCTTGTCACTTGGAGGGGTGATGATTAATAAGGTCATGAATCTTACGATTGTGTGTGATAGTCCCAAATGAAATTCATTTATTGATTCAAAAAGTGGAAGAATATTCCATGTTTGACTTAAAACCAAGATGTATTGAACATAGTGTATGTAGCATCAAATTAGTTGTGGTACATCAAATAGTGTATGGGAAACAAATTGCTGAAATTTCTTACATCACTCTTCTTTGTTTTTCCTCTCTGTTTTTTTTTCCCCTAATCAGCCCTCAGCCTCCATCACTCCTTCTTCTTCTACCCATAGACCTCAGAGACATTTTTGCATTCTTAGCACCAACACCTCCATTTTAATGAAAATATTCTGAACAGACAGCACTTGCACATTTATTTTTGTTGTTCATCCACCTTAAAAATAGCTCTTTGATAACAGTAATTGCCATGTTGCCTGGCTGTACTGAGTTGCTGATCCCTGCACTGACATGCCATTTGATAACTCCTCAAAATGATCATCTTCAGTGACTCACAACAAATATCCCAATGATGGCTGCAACAATAAGGAGGAAGGGAATAGCCCCAATCCTTTTCTCCTACAGAGAAAGAACAACCTGGACACAAAGGAAAGGTTAAATCAGGTCATGGACTCTTGCACGCATTACTGATGGTGTCTGGAATTTAAGTGGAGAACTGCCAGCTGCGGCTAACTTATGCGCCCCTCCCAGAACCCCTCAGTCACCCTTTAAAGCAAGCCTGAGAATGTGTTAAAAATAGCTTCAGGCAGAACGCATTATTTTCTTGGCCTGTAAAAAAATTGCTGGCCTTTAGAAATTTTCTGGTGGCCTTTCTTTGGCAATTTTTGCTTTCCTAAAAATATGCTACCTTTCAGGCCTGTTCATAATTCTGCATGGTGACATAAAAAAACCAGCTGAATTTTATTGATGTTAAGGAAAGACTTGTTGCAATTATTTCTCCCCTACAGGTAGGAGAACCTTAGAAGAGAATTTTACTGGAATTCATTTGCAAACATCTGGAATCAGAAACCTGAAAAAAAAGCTTTCTTCTGAGGAGAAAGGATGAGGACTGGAGATGAGAGGACTTTACCTTTTGTCATCCTTGTACCACTGGAATTCTGCTGAGGGAACTGCTGAGGCTTCACACTGCAGTGTCCCCTTCTGTCCCACAGGGACACCTGTACCCTTAGCTTCTGAAATGTATGGTGGATCTGCGGAGAGAAGACATTCCATCGCACTTCAAAGTGCATTTCAAAAGAAAAAAGCCTGCCTTATTCATTTGTGGATTTTGTTGGTTACTCTCTGCCCTACTTTTGTTAACTTGCTCTGTCAAATTGCTGTAAATTGTGCCAGAGAATGAAAACATTTTCAATGTCATTCTAAGGAAAAGCATGATCTTTCTAACATAGATTGCTTCTGTTCTCCTCTGTGCAGAGGTGGGATGACCAGATATTCAGGTATATTTCCCGTGAAAACTTGTTAACTTTCATAGGATGATGCCAACATATCAACCCTATACTTCATGGGTTGACAGTCAGCTACTTTAATCAGCCTTATAGAATTTCTATACACCAAGTTCTTGCCAAAGTATATAACCTCAAACTATTCAATTCCCATCAAAAGCTCAGTTACAAGAAATAATATTCATGGAAAATTGCCTGAAGGATGTACAGATCAGTCATTTTTCTAAGTATTCTGACATGGATCCCTGAATTCAGCCAAACCAAACTAGAGCTACATACTTGGTTTGCATTCATTTGAAGTCTTTACCAAACTATCCATGACATTCCAACAGTTTGCACTGAGAGGTATTAAAGAAGAAGACATAATATACTTGTTGTTCTATTTGTTGAAGAAATAATATCATACATGATGTGTTGAGTTATCTCAAAATGTTCCATTTGTGAAGATACCTGAAGAGAATTTTCTCTACAGTCTCAATGCCAGGAAAAGCAGTGTTTCTCCCAAGCAAATAAATTGCTTTTATCTTATGGACAGCATAAATCTTAAAGCAAGTGATGTTTCTTCTCTTTGCTCTACCAATTCAAAGCTATATACAGGACCTGAACTTAGCCACTTAGTGGTATGCATTTCATGTGCTTATTTTCCCTAGCTTTCACTCATTTTTCTTAATATTAGTTTTCCTTTGCTTCAATTTCTTTACATTTTAGGTTCATCTTTATGAGTTGGAAATAATTTTAAGTCCTTTTAAAATTGTGATAGAGTAAAAAATATCATAATTGCATAAAACTGATAGCCTTGTTAAATGTACTTTCTTACTCATTAAAAAGCTTCATATTACCTAGGTCCCAGTAGTACACTATCCTTGTTGTACGCCCACCCACCCAAGTATTGAATGGAAAGGATTCTTGTTGCTGGCTTGGTTCTTGGGTTTTGTTCTGCCATAAGATTTCCTGCAGCATAAACAATATGGTAAAACTTCAGAATGCCATAGGTAACTGAATCAATCAATGCACATTAAAAAGAAAAAAAAAGAACCCAGAGAAAAAAGACTGGTATACAAGTAGGGAATTAAAATAGTATCAATGTCAGAGAGAATTTGGATGGTTGACAAAGCACAATGAGGTATGCACAGCAGTGACTCCCAAACTTTTCGGATCCTGTACCTCTATTAGTAAAAGTCAAATTTTTAGATACACATGTACGCAGGTTTAGAGAATGTATCTGTTTGAATTTAAAATTTGAATGCATACCATGAATGTCAACATCTTTAATTATAAAAGGATGATATCCATACATAGAAGGGGGTCTCACCACATTGTGTCAATAAATTATGGGGAAACTTTGGTTCTCAAAATGCACTTATATAACTTACGCATTGAATGACATTTGGTAATCTCCCAGTCATGTCACATTTGGTATTATATTAATATACTTTAAGGTTTTTTTTTTTGTGTGTGTGTGTGACACTATGACTTCTACACTTGACACAAATGTCACTTTGGCCCTGTTGGTCTTGAAAGAAGAATGTAGAAAATGGTCCTGCATTCTTTTTCATCCTGAGTCAGCAGTTGATTCTGCTGAGTGGCTTGTTGTTGTGGCTGTGAAACCAGGCCAGCTTCATGCACATGAAGGGTCGGGGACTGGCGAGACCACTTACAGTTCACGGTGACCTTTACTCTTCGCACCACTGGTGCAGCCACATCGTTGGAGGCGCTGCACTCGTAGTCCCCAGACTGCTCCCGGGTTATGCCCTGAATTTCCAAGTATTCATCTTCACTCACAAAGCCAACAGCTGCAGAAGAAGCAGTGAGGTATAGTGAAATAGGAGGGAAAAAAAGACAAAGAGTATAAATTTAGAAAGAGAAGTATAAAATGGTTATGTCTGTAGAGAAGAGAATTGTGCCACTTGTCAGTTCAGATCCTTAGGAACTAAGTAGATTCTCCCACTCCACCTTGCCTACCCCTTTCACCACCAACTTTTCCCTGGCTCCCCAGTGGACCTACTGAAATGTTTGTGCTTCTAATTGAACTAAGTGTGGTGCCTAGATAACTAATGGTACTCTATAAGTAATTAATAATTTTGACATTACACTGCCTAGATATTACCAAGTGGTCCCATTCTGGGATCTGAGTGAGGCACTTTAACCCTTTCTAATCTCAAGGCATCATTCAGACTGAGTCTTGAATGTAGATCTGCTGCTGTTTGTATTCCTGGGCATGAACTTATTAAAAATGCCACATTGGCAGACACACAACATGCGTGCATGCACACACATGCCACAAAGACAGCAGAAATGCTAATGTGATAAATGTAACTTTGTTTTTAGATGAGACAATCAATTTATAGAAAAAATCAATTTTATTCAATGTTGATCTGTTAGAGCTCTGGAGTATAAGATGCTAAAGACAAACCAACTGGGGGGCCATATTCTCGATTTCTAACCACAAGCAGAACTCAAAAAATAACACCTGGTTGTAAACCTCACTGTCACTTTATCTTCCCAAGATTCAATTTCTTTAGTGAGAAAAACTGTGAATAATAAGACCCTCTACATGCCCAACTCCATACTTGATGTTTAGCCAAGACCATTCAATTATAGGAAGACCAAGATATTGAAGCCTAGGGGACAGGTTCTACAGTTCTCTCCCAGAGCCACACTAAACTAAGCTTCCTTGACAAAGGAAAATAAACAACAAAAATAACTGCTTACATTCTGGGATTATCCTCCCTTCTCAGTTAAATGAAGACAAGTAGTATACAATTTCCTAAACCAGGATACTATTAAAAGGAAATTATTATCAGCAAGCTTAAGTTGGGATTGTCCCTACCAACTGAGAAACATTTTCTCAATATAATGTACCCAACAGTCCTAATATTTCATGGGGTTATTTAGAGCAACCATATATATATTATGTATAAAAAGACTTTAAAAATTTCATGTGCTGCAAACCTGCTGATTTAGCTATTAATCCTATAATCATCTGGAAGTCCAGATTTAGGAGGACTGAAGTCATATTCTTATGAACAGTTCCAGAAAAGTAACTAAAGAACATTTCTCTCTAGGTCATAAAACTCCATAAGGCCACATGTTTCTACTGACCCAGAGAATGAAACTGATAACTCAAAGAAATTAATATGATTCAAAGGATGATATATGTGATATGTTAGTCATGATTGTATTTGTTCTATGACAGTGCTAAGATCATCATTTTGGTCAAGTCAAGAGTTACAAAAACAATAGTAACAACAACAACAACAACAACAACAAAAATCTTGTAAAGAATGGTCACTATTTGTTCGTTTCTGCTGTTGCTTCTTGGTCATGATAGTTCTGTGCTACCAGCCAGTAACCAGTTCAACTTGAGCCATTTCCTCAGGTACTCTTATGCATTATGAAATATGAACACACCCACACACCCACACTCACACACACACACACACACACACACACACACACACACATATATATATGAAAGAGTTACATATGTGTATATATATATATATATATACACAAACACATGTACATATATATAGAGAGACACATATATCTATATATAACATACATAAATCTCTATATAGCATACATACATCTATATATAACATTCATATATATAATACAGTCATTCCTTTATTACGTACAAAGGAAAAAATAGTTCATGTCTGTTACAACAAGAAAAATCATTAAATTCACAAGAAGAAACAGGATCATGTAGAAAACAGGGAAGTCTTACACAGAGAGAGTCTTACACAGACAAACTCATGGACCCAGTTTATAAGAAGGTCTACTTGTCTCAGTGGGCTTTATTATTACTGTTTTATACACATCTTCAGGGGAAAAAGAAAAACCCCAATTTGAGAAAGGGTGGAGGAAAGGAAGAGATGAGACTTAAGTGAGGAATCTGCGATTCCTCTTATGATGCCTTTGTTTATTTCTCCCAACCACAGGCCTACATTTGTCAGATGGCTCATTGCACGAATGCTATAATTACTGAGCAGAGCATCTCGAAGTCCAGTGTCACACTTAATATTCCCATTAATTTTAAATGGTAGTCCTTGGTACATATGTGTGGCAATTGGTGTCATATTTTAATTAGGCTTGCCCTACACCATCTGAAATTAATAATAGCTCGAATTACCAGTGTAATTTATAAATTAACAGTGCTGCAGCATTAGGAAATAAATTAGCTCTGGACAGCTGTTTCTGGATGGAGCTCCAGTGTCACAGCAGTGACTACAGAACCTCAGGTCTCCTGAGGGGCTGTGTCATACACCACCAAAGTAGAGAACAAAAAGGCACAGGTTCTATTGACCTCTATTCTTCTTTCCAACTGAAGTCCATATATCTCTTTTAATTCTGCCATCAAACTGTACTCTTGTGTGACCATACTGAGACAACCTTTGATCAGCTGGCTCTGTGGACATTCAAAAAGAAAAGCATCTTGGGAGGATAATGGAAAAAGCTAAAAGGCAAATACATAAATGTTAGTGTAATCAAAATGAAGACATGGCCAAGTTTTTTGTGGGAACCTAGGCATATGAATGTGGATGTAAGTTCACCTATTCTTGCCAAGGGATCTTCTGTAAGGAGGGAAGTTGACTGGATGAAGACCTGAGGGAGACATATGGTCTCTACTGCTCCAGATGTCTGTTACTGAAACGAGGGGATTTGCATTTAAGTTATCCTTCCAAAACCAATGAGACTTGATTTTACTATCCTATGTTCCTCACACCAGTATAGAATTTCAGAGGAACCATGATGACTTCATTTCCCAACACTTCCTATGTGTAAACTTTTGTATGACATTTGGTGAGGCCTGTGAAAATGATTTATGTATACATTAAAGCACTTTATATATTTTATTTTTTGTTGTCATTATTTTCACCTTTCTCTTGGCATACTTTTTTTTTCTTCCACTAGAGGCAAATATGGCAAAGCCAGAGAGAAAGATGATCACTGTACCCACAGAAAGCTAAACTTTGATTCACCAGAAATGAGGCTGATATGTGAATTTTTAGAGATACTAAGAATGTTTTCATCTAACAACCTATATACTCTGGCTATGAATTAGCTTTATCACTAGTATAAAGAACTTAAAAGATTATTTTAGGAAAAAATTTCAGCTGAGTACACTTTTTAAAGTGCTGAAGTATTCTTGTTAAGAGACACAAGTGGAGAAGAGGCAAACCACTTGATAAAACCCAGTGAAAAGAAACCCTTCATGGTCAAGAGCATCTCATTTATAGGTCTGCTTCCTCTTCTTAAGAAAATGTATCCTTCGGTGGAAACGACACACTCATCTTCTTAAAATATCCCTTTCTTCATGTCACACCTCTTTAGAGGCTATAAATGGCTCCTACGTCCTTCCTATGTCCTGTAACATTAAACACAAACTCCACTGACTGGTTCCCAAAGCTTTCCAAAAAGAAGCCCAGATTTTCTCATCCAGATTCATCTTGCATTAGTTCTTTGAAGAACAGACTGTCATTGTAAAAAGCAAATAGATGGAATCAGACAAAGCAAATTCTTGGCCTTCTAGCTTCATGCTAGAAGTTACCTAATTCCCCTGCATCAATAATATGACACACCTTAAGTGTTGCTGTGGGAGACAACAGATGGACTATGGTGGGGAAAGTGAAAGGCTCAGGGTGAGTTCTCTGCTGATGTTAGCTACTACAGTCAATATTATTACCCCCCGAAACAATGACAATTCTCAAACCAAGTTATGCTATTTTTTTGTCTTGGATAAATAGGAAGATAGATTATTTTTATCACCAACCATTTATATTCCTTCTGTCTACCTAAGCAAAGAGAACCTATATTTCAAATTCCAACTTGACCATGGAATACTTTAATTTTGGATGAATTGTATCCCCACAAAAGATATGCTTCACGCTGAACCACAAGTAACTCAGACCACATCTGGAAAAAAAGTCTTTACAAAGCAAGCAAGCTAAATGTGATAACAGGGTAGGCTTTAATCCAATGTAAGTGGTGTCCTTTAAAAAGGAGCACAGACAGAAATACACAGAGGGAAGCCAGGGTGAAGACCCACAAAGTGAAGGCGGCCACATTTCTGGAGTGAGGCATGAACTAAGAGCTGCCAGTGAACACCAAAAGCTAGAAGAGACAGGAGACAGAGTTCTCATAGTTCCCATAGTTTTTGGAGAAAGAATGGACCTTCTCATGCTTTGATTTCAGTCCCCATCACTTTAAGACAATACATTTTGATTTTTTTCTAAGGCAACCAGTTTTTTTGTACAGTGTGACGGCAATTCTAATAACACTAATACAGTGTAAATACACTCCCTTTTAACTCTCATTGTCTCTTAACATCCTGCACCCTTGTTGTGTGTTGAGTTCATGGAGTCTTTAAAAACATACATGATTTTAAAGAGCTGAAAGGTGTATTATGGTTCTATAACTCCACAGTTGCTATGCTAGGACACAGTTATACTGAAGTGGAATTACCTATAATGGTTGTTTAAGCTACAGATTTCTAGGTTCCACTCATACTTAATAAACCAGAGTTCCCTGGGATGAGGAGTTTTCATAACTTATCAGGAAATCCTCATTTGTAGTTAAGCTCAGAAATTAGTGATTTAGCTCAATTCCTTCTTTGTCATTTGGGAAGTAGATGTTTAGAAGAATCCAAGGTCAAAAGTCCCACTGGTGACAAGGCACACTGGGGTCCCTCCATTACCAAGCCACTGTTACTGCAACTGTAAATGTGGCTTCTAAGAGTTGTTTTTTTTAAATATTTTAATTCATTTTTAAAAAATAAATGACAGCA